GTGAGAGACAGACATCTCTTGGAAACATAAACCCTGAATGTACCATAAACTCCACCATTGCCATCTATTCTTTATTGGTGGAATAGTTATTATTTTTATTCTGGAAATTGAGAAAGAGAAGTGAAATGCCACTTTAAAATAACTTGGTAAGGAGTAGTCCAGTTTTCATAAGTCACCGAGAGACATGGGAGTTTTGGGGTATCTACCCTGTACTCCTGTGAGCAGAAAAGTGAGCTCTCCCATTTGGCAGCTGCTATACCAGTCTCATCAGGGTTCTTAGTCCAAGCAACCATCCCGTTCTGAGAGGGTAAATACACTTATTGGAGTGAACCTATACTGATGTGACTATCTCAGGACCTCTGTGAAACATCCCATCACAAGTTATAGCTGTAGCCCTAAGTCTCCTTGACAGTAATTTACTAGGGCTTTTCAAAGTAATTCAGACTCCCAGAACAACAGATTGGTGCTTAGATTCATCGTACTGGCACTGCTGCTGTTTTCACAGCTATAACCACAACCTAACTTCCCAGGTGTCCAATTCAGTTATGTGTCTAGTCTCTTGCAACTGACGGCTTCAGAGCAACCAAAGCACTGCTGCAATTTTCCTTACTGATTAGCTGTTCAGAGCTGTAGTTCCAGCCTTGAGGCCTTGAAGTTGGACTGTTACAGAAGTGGGAATATCTAATTTGTGAATGATATGTAAATCACATAAAGTGCCTAACGGTTTCTATCCTGTAAACTCTGTAACAGAAGGGCCAGATTAAAGTCCCTAGCAGCTGGAACATCTGCATAAACAACAACCAAGTGACACCAGCTGTGTGTGAAAGGGGTATTGTAAATGGGAAGAGAGATTGAGAAGCCTAATTTCATGTGAAAACCACAGTGGGACAAGTTATCTGTCTTGGTGTTATCAGATCCAGTTCCTTAGTCCTTCCACTCCCTGCTCCCCCTCTATGTGGTAGATCCTGGAAACCTATGTAGTAGCTTAGTCAAATCTGCCTAGGACTACTGAGAGCATGTTTGATCAGCTAAAAGACCCCTAAATCATTCTAAAAATGAGGCCTAAAGACTTGTATAAAGGATTCTGCTGCCACAAATTAACATGTCCTTAGGTGCTTCTGTGGATGTCTTCTGGCCTAACTGCAAGGCAGCCTAGGCTGACTAGGCTTTCAGGTCAGTGTAGCTCACGGAAGTAGTGCTCAGCAGATGTGGACCTTGTAGCATCATGAAGTTTCAAGATGTCAAGTTACTTCTGTGAGGTCAGATGTAGCTGAACTTGGGCATTGCAGGCCCACCAAAGGATGATACTGCTGAACTGTGAGCCCAGTTTTTTGTGACTCCCGTTTTGTCATTCCTCCCACCACCCTGGTTTCACAAGCCTGTATTTGCCAAAACTGGTCTTGAAAGGCCTTAAATACTTTAGATGCTTTCCAATAAGAATGTGAGATACCTGAGTCACAGAGTCAGAATCACCAAATGGTTGAGATCAATGGGACCCCTGGAAATCATCTTGTCCAACCCTGCTCAAGCAGGGTCACCTAGAGCACGTTGTCCAGGACCAGGTCCATATGGCTTTTGAATATTATAAAGGATATAGATTATAAAATCTCTCTGGGTGACCTGTGTCAGTGCTGCATCACCCTCACAGTAAAAGTGTTTCCTGATGTTCAGACAGAACCTTCTGTGTTTCAGTTTGTGCCCACTGCTTCTTGTCCTGTCACTGGCACCAGTGAAAAGAGCCTGGCTCTGTCTTCTCTGCAGTCTCCATTCAGATACTTACGCACTCTGACATACCACCAGAGCCTTCTTCAGGCTTAATAGGCCCAGTTCTACTAATATGAAGGATGCTCCAGTCCCTTAATCATCTTTTTGGGCCTTCAGTGGTCTGTCTCCATCATGTCCATATGTCACTTGTACTGGGGAACTCAGAACTGGATGCAGTACTCTAGGTGTGTCCTCATTAGTGCTGAACAGAGGAGAAGGATCACATCTCTTGGTCTACTTGCATCACCCCTCCTAATGAAGCCCAGGACCCTTAGTCTTCTTTGCTGCAAGGTTGAAGTCACTTACATTCTTACAAAAATGTAACCAAAGGTAGACAAAATGCACTGTTTTTTCACTTCTTGTCTAACCTTCTAAGCCCAAATAATTAAATATTGTTGTGCATATTTTTTCTTTTTTAATTTCAAACCAGCTGAACTCGGTCTTGCACTCAGGGAAAAACAAACAGAAATCAAAGCTTGTGTTTAACCTCAGACAGTACTACACTCTGGTGTACCTTTACATGCCAGGGTGGTTCCATTTACTTCAGTGGCACTAGCCTTATATGGATAAGGCCTCCAGAGTATAAGAAATTACTCCATCCTCTCTTAGCCTTCTTTATCTAGACCTATGTGTAAATAATGACTAGCAATGCATTCTGAAAGTTGCTACGTTATTATCTGAATCTTATTTAATCCTCAATATGTGTTTGCAGCAGAATTTGACTCATTTCAGCAGACCTAAAACGTCTACATCTGTTCAATATCAAACATTTCTGATTTTCAGTGCCCCAAGATGTGTACAAAATGAAAGTTTGATAAAAATATAATCTATGTATCTCAATAGCTTATATACAAAAGTCTCAAGTTAGATGTATAAAATTATACCTTCTGATATCGAGTCTGTTTTTCAGTATGGCAAGGGTCTCACACCCACCTTGTAAACTGTGTTGGAGGTTACTAGTATTGACCATTCATGAAATGCTGTGTGAAAATAAAGTATTTGACATTTCCATATTTAGTGAAGGCAGCAGTTAGTGAAGTCAAACTACCTCATTGTTCTCTTCCAAGGCTAATATGTTATCTTTTGAATATAAAGACAGTACAAAGTCATTCTGTATCCAGGAAGATACTGTATTTTTCTCTCAAATTGGTATTATTTTGATTCCTCTCTCACTCTCTATATTGGCTTTAAGATTCACTGCCTTTTAGAATATGCTATCAGAAATGTCATTGCATTTCTAGGCAGCTTAATGGAAATATTTTTTGTAGCTTTGATTTTTCTTCATTACACTGTTATTTATTTAGCTTATATGATGGAACACCAATAAATTGAACTTTGCTCATATTCCATATCACTTTGGTTTGAATTACAATGCTTAAACCTCCCAGTAAGCAAAAGCAAAACTGGAGAGATTACATCTTTGATAAGATTACAATCCCCTCTTGTAAGTAATATTAAAATTGACTTTCTGAATATAATCAAGAATTTGTCTGGTTATCTTTAATTGATCTCCCTAGAAAGATAGTACAGACTGCAAATGGAATTGCAGTCCATTACAAATCAAAGCAATAATATAAAATCAGAGTGTAAAACAAAATGGTAATTTCTGCCTATCTTGGACCTCAGAAGTTATAACTTTAACTGACAGGAGATGTCATCTCCTGTTTATGGAAATGGTAAATAAAGTGAGACATCTAGGACAAGACAAAATGACATATTCAATGTCAAGATGTTGAAAAATATTTTCCTTCTTTGTGGATGTGGTAGGCTTAATAAACCAATGAAGAATATCTGGAACAAAAGTAACGTTTCCATAAATGTTGTCTTAGGCATTACCAATCACAGTGGATTCAAGATATTTAAATTTCATTGCCACCTTTATTTAAGATCATTCCAGTCCTCTAATTTTAGCCTTCTGCTGCATTTTCTGCAAGGCCCGGGCTCCAGCTATTTAAAAAGTTTGAAATCAGTTAGATCAGTGGCTTATAGATAGGTGTTTCAAAAGTCCTTCAAGGTCCCTTCTCTTATGAGGCATGTGAGCAACTCTGTAGTCCTTGCATTCATCACCTGTCTGAATGTGGTTCACGATACACAGGTGTTGATCCCAGCATGTCCTTGTAGCCTTGGATGTATTTGGTCAACTCTTGGTGTTCTCAGTTCATCATTTCTTAAAGATTGAGCAGGGCCTCTGGTCATGGAGCATACCTGTTCCTGGGAGACTGTTACATACTACACCTCAGCATGCCATTTTGATTTCTTCAGTCTTCTGTTTTCCAGTTATTATTTCTTCATGTGTACCCATACATACATATAGAAGTTATTTATACACATTCATAGAGAAGGAGTGATATTTCTTCTTCACTAAAACTTGGCTACTTCGATAAGTGTGTATAAGGAAGATGGTGAAGTGGTTTTCCTCTGCAGCCTGCCAAGAAGTGATAACCAGGTTCATGAAATAACTTTCAACAGTACTGACACTTTCTGCAGATGCTTTTTATGCTAAATCTCTCTAGTGAAGTCTCTGACAGGTTGAAATATATAAGTAGTTTTACCTGTATGTTTATGTTGAAATTCCTGTGACTGCATCTTGGTAAGTCACTCTTTTGTAGGTTATGAAATGGTTGCTTCAGTTATTTAATGTCTTTGTCTTATGCTGTGTGTTGGTGTGTGTGTTTAGGTATATAAGATCATAAGGAAATATGTGTAAATACATGGTGAAATTATCTTTGATTAGTAGTACATTTACAATGATTAAACGTCATCTCATTGCAAATAAGTCAAAATACTTAAATATTTGGTGCAGTATGTTAATGACCTGTGCTACTTGATCACTTAAACTCCACAGACCTGGTCCCCTACTGTGTTAGGTATTGTTGCAAACCATTAAAACATCTGAATAAGAACTTTCTTCTTCTGCCCATATAGTGATGTTTCTCCATGGATAAAAACAGGACTATTGTATCTCCATACAATTACAAGTACACTGCAACTACACAAATTGCTCTATATCATATTTCATATTTCTGTTAGATATAGCATTAAAGAATCATTAGAAAATTCAGGATGGAAGGAGCTTTCTGTTCATCTTTAACTATGAGCTCAGTCCAAGATACTCAGGGATTTATCCAGTTGATTGTTTAAAATTTCCAAGGCTAGACACAGTACAACTTCTCTGGGCAAACTATTCCAATCCTTAGTTGCCCTCATGATATTTTTTTTTATTTCCTTACATCTAGACTGAACCACTGTTATTTCAACTTATGTCTGTGTCATCCTTCCACCATGTACCTCTGTGAAGAGCCCTTTTTGATGCCCTCCTTGTAGGTTTTGGCATTCAGGTTCCCCCAGAATCCACCTCTTCTCCAGGCTGAACAAGCTCAGTTCCTTTTGTGGCAGTAAGCTGAATTTTTATAAACAGTCATGACATTCTTGCACAGAAATCTGTCGAAAATATAATTTCTATATTATTTGACCAAAAAGTCAAAGGGGGGCTTTTGTGGAGCCTGTGTATACCTGGTTGTTACGAGGTTCATACTGACATTGAATGCAATGTGCTAAAAAGTCAAATATTGGTAAAATAAATATTTGTTGTTTTTTTTTTTTTTTCAGTAAAGGAAGAGTTGAGGGAGAAGTTCATAATAGTGAGAATGGAAAGTTTTTTGGTTTATTGCTTCTTATACTTATGAAAGCCATGAAATTACAGAGAGTAACATAGCTGACAGCTATGATTACCATCCAGAAAGAACAAAAGGATCTTTATAAGATTATTCTGAGTCACAGGAAAGAGGTGAAATCCGTACCTGAATGGCTGACAGCCATTACAAGTCTGTGAAGTCTTACATGATGGAAAAACTCTTCTTAGATGTAAGAAACAGCATTTGCCACAGTTCCTCTATAAGGCTCCTTCTGGAGAGTTTTGAGACAAATTGCAAACTGCTTGAGCTGGTCAGATACCCTTCCAAATCTTTTCAGATCTTAATCTAAAATGATTGTTCAGCAAATATAGTTATTCCTTTCTGATTCACTAACAGACAATCTAACACTGATTATCCAAATCAATTCATAATTATTTCAAATATTTTTTGAAACAAATTACTTGATGTCCAAACCAATTTTCACTCTGTACAAAACACACAGAGAAAACAATCTCTGCCTTGAAGAGGTCAGGATCAAATCTAAGATGGGGCACAATGAATGCAATAAACAAGTCAGAGAGAAGAAAAAATTGAAAGGATAGGGGTGAAAAAGTTTAATAGTTTCATGGCTTGCCACACACATACAGAGAACTTGGTAGTTACAAATCATGTAGAAGTTTTGCCTTGTTTTATGTGCCTGGCTAGAAGGTTTATTTCATGTCAGTATGTAAACAAGCTGATGCAGGTAAAAGTGCTACATGTCAATCCAAAGGTTCTGGATTTCATCTGTGAGAAAAGTGTAGCTACAGTTTTTTCATTTACTGGGTTCATAAACCATGAAGACTTTCAAGGGTTCTGAATGTTAACATTGGATACAAACTATAGAATTTATTTAATGCTGTAAAAGTACTTGAATTTTATCTCCATCTGCATTACTCTAGTCATCTGTTACATTGGACAACTTTGTTTTTAGTGTTGTCAATATCACACTGTAAAAACCACAGCTCAGTGCAGTTCTTGTGTTTTTCTCTGTTCTCACATATAAATTGGCTATGTTTTTTTCTTTAAGATCTATACAATGAACGAGGCTTTTCTATACAAGGTGTACTAAATTAGTTTTGTATCTTTGGTCTGTCAATACCTTTAAAAAGAACATTCCACTTTTGCTTTCGCATTTCAATGAACTGTTTGTAGAATCACCTCTTGTGGTCAAATAACTTCCAACGTGAGTGATGACGTTTTTGTTTTCCATGTTAATCTCAACCTTTATCAGAAACCTGAAAGTGTACATTCAATTAGAGAAGATGAAAGACCCTACAATGGACATTCCAAACTCCTAATGGCAGTTTCTGTGTCTACAGTTTAACTCAAGAAATTAAAACACATTCTATTAAAACATGCTTGCCAAAATCTTAAAAGATTAAACAATACAAAAGGCTGGGGGAAGATAATAACATTCAAGGTTTCTGGCAAATGACTGGGGTCAAATTAGGCTGAAGATATAACATTCAGTGGGAACAACAGAAAACATTACCTTTCCAGTTAGAGAAAGGAGAATAAGGACTGCTCAGACCCATATATTTTCACATGTGATATTATTAGATTTCTTAACTGAGTAATCATAAAAACAACAAAAAAGGGCATGCTATTTCCTTTCAATAAGTAATAAAGATCTTTTAAGCTAGTCAGTAAAAGAAGATGACTCAATAATAATGGTAAGATTAAAAAAAAAAACAAAAACAAAAAACACAACAGGTTTATGATTTATAATTTTAAAGGAGAACATTCAAGTCTGAAAGTAATCTGGACAGAGAAATCTCAGAGGAACCTTAGCATCTGCAGTCAAAATGCAAAAACTATCTTGTATTGATAGCTTAAATAAAGACCTATAGGAAAGAACTGAATTCAGGTCTATATGAATGAATATCATCTCCAAAATGGAGTAAATGCATATTGCACAAGAGAAAAATTTTAGATTTAAACATAAAATAAATCCATAAAAATCAAGTAAAGAATTAAAAATATTTTACCACATGTAGCACCATAATTATTAAAAAAATTACTGACTTGCTGATGTGATCTCAGTAGTACATTGCATAAAAGATTCTGGGAATATTTTAGAGAAACAAAAAATCGAAGGACAGCAGAAAAAAGGATAATATACTGAAATGAATTTTCACAGAATCACAGAATCATCTAGGTTGGAAAAGATATTTAAGATCACCTAGTCCAACCATTAACCAAACACTGACAGTTCTGAACTACACCATATCACTCAGCTGAGTGTTATGGTGTAGTTCAAAACTGTTGACCCGACTCTGAAACACCTCCAGGGATGGGGACTCCACCACCTCCCTGGGCAGCCCATTCCAATGCCTAACAACCCGTTATGTTAAGAAATACCTCCTAATATCTAGTCTAAACCTTCCCTGATGCAACTTGAGGCTATTACCTCTTGTCCTATCGCTTGTTACTTGGTTAAAGAGACTCATCCCCAGCTCTCTGCACCCTCCTTTCAGGTAGCTGCAGAGGGCGATGAGGTCTCCCCTCAGCCTCCTCTTCTCCAGACTAAACCCCCCCAGTTCCCTCAGCCGCTCCCCGTACGACCTGTGCTCCAGACCCTGCACCAGCTCCGTTGCCCTTCTCTGGACACGCTCGAGTCATTCAATGTCCTTTTTGTAGTGAGGGGCCCAAAACTGAACACAGGAATCGAGGGGCGGCCTCACCAGTGCCGAGTACAGGGGTCAGATCCCTTCCCTGTCCCTGCTGGCCACGCTATTGCTGACACAAGCCAGGATGCCATTGGCCTTCTTGGCCCCCTGGGCACACTGCTGGCTCCTGTTCAGCCGGCTGTCAATCAACCCCCCCAGGTCCCTCTCTGACTGGCAGCTCTCCAGCCACTCCTCCCCAAGCCTGTAGCGCTGCTGGGGGTTGTTGTGGCCCAAGGGCAGCCCCCAGCATTTGGCCTTATGGAAACTCCTCCAGTTGGCCTCAGCCCATGGCTCCAGCCTGTCCAGGTCTCTCTGCAGAGCCTCCCTGCCCTCGAGCAGATCAACACTCCCACCCAACCTGGTGTCATCTGCAAACTGACTGAGGGTGCACTCGATCCCCTCGTCTAGATCTCCAATAAAGATGTTAAACAGGAGTAGCCCCAACACCGAGCCCTGGGGGACACCACTCGTGACCGGCCACCAACTGGATTTAACTCCGTTCACCACAACTCTCTGGGCCCGGCCATCCAGAGTTTTTTACCCAGAGAAGCGTGTGCCCATCCAAGCCACGAGCAGCCAGTGTTGCCAGGAGAATGATGTGGGAAACGGTGTCAAAGGCCTTGCTAAAGTCAAGGTAGACAACATCCCCAGCCTTTCCCTCATCCAATAAGCAGGTCACCCTGTCGTAGAAGGAGATCAGGTTTGTCAGGCAGGACCTGCCTTTCATAAACCCATGCTGACTGGGCCTGAGCATCTGGTTGTCCCGCAGGTGTTGTGTGATGGTTTTTAAGTTTGTTTAAGATGGCTCGGTCTGAGAATGCATGGGGAGACTGGATAAACTTGAGAAGTATTGACTTTTGTAGGTTGAACTTTGAGCGGTTAAGAATGCCAGTTAGTGAAGTCACTGCAGACAGAAAACCTCATGGAAGAATCAGAATCTTTAAATCAAAGTATAACATTGAAGCTATTGTTCTCATGAATCGTTAAATTGTACTGGAAGAGGTACAGAGAAGGCTATTAGGATGAGCAAATGCATCAGAAGTCTACCTTACTGCAGATTTTTAGAGTCTGGCCTGTGTGGTATAGAAGATGAAGCCTGAGAGGCACATAAATATCTTTTATATTTATCTTGGGGGAATAAAAACCAGAGACGGATTAAAATGGTTTAAATAAAAAGAAAATTTTGGCAAAAAAAACCCCAAACCCAAAGAAGCTTTTCCTGGAAGCGGTCATTTTAACAGGGAGCATGCAATGCTAACAGAGCTGTATGGTTTCCATACCAGGACTAGCCTGTTGAGTGTGCAGTGTAGATAGATCACAGAAGATATCAGGACAGGGATTATATTTCACTGCACCTTTAAGGCATTTGAATAGTAAAGAGCTATGCAAGAGAAACAGGAGACACAAACGATTAGTGCAACATTTAGGACTGATTTCAGGTTTGACTTGAATATATAGCTATACCTAAGGATGCAATGCTACTCCAGATGGTGGTTTTACTGTGTCTTCACTGAAAAGATCTGCCAGGCATTGTGTCATCCTTCTTAGTCTTTGGGGTACATTTGGATGGATAAAGAGGCTCTTCTGTTTAATTGTGTTAGTTCACTTGATTTTAGTTAATATCACTGCAGAGCCAGGCTAACATATCTAAAATCATGTTAATTGACCATGGTGTCATGTCCCTACCCTGATGTTTTCTCCTGAGGCTGAGCCTGAAATGCAGTAGCTTATTTTGTCAAGGGCTTTTTAATTGGGTTAAAGTCTTCTGAGCAAGCAGCACTGATAATTTAACTTACAGCCTGAACAGAGCACACAAATAACGAGTGCAGAACTTTTGCAAACCTTTTGGTACTGGCTGAATTTCTCCTTACAAAATCCCCTTCTCAGCTAGAAAATTAAACATAAAAATCAGTCTTCTGCTGATTAATTGTATTTTAGAATAGCTAGTAAGATATAATTTGGTTTCAAAAATTAGACTTCTGAGGGGAAACTTTGATTAAATCTCCAGAAAAAATAAATCAGCTATAAAAATAAACAACGTAAGACAGG